TAATATTCCCTGCTACTTTGCCATAGATTAGTTGACCTTATATGTGTGATTTTATTTCTGGTGTTTCAATTCACTTCCATTGGTTTGTGTGTCTGTGTGTTTTTGTTCAAATAAATGCGTTTTTTTTTTATTAAGGCTTTGTAGTATCATTTGAAGTCTGGGAGTGTAATACCTTCATTCTTCTTTCTTTTAGTCAGGAGATCATTTGCTATTTGATTTTTTTTTTTTTTGCGTGTGTGTGATACCATTTGAATTTCAGCAATTTTATACCATTTCTTTGAAGAATATCTTTGAAAGTTTTCATTGGTATTGCACTGAATCTGCAAATTTCTTTGGGTAGGATGGCCATTTTGATGATGTTGATTCTTCCATTCCATGAGCCCAGAATGTTTTTCCATTTCATTGTGCCTTTTTCTATTACTTTGGATAGAGTTTTATAATTTTCCTTGTATAGGACTTTTACCACCTTTTTTAGATTTATTCCATGGTATTCATTTATTTTTCACAATTAAAAATGCAATGCTATTCTTAATTTCTTCCTCTTCAGACTGATTTTTAATTTTTTTTCTTTTATACTTTTTCTTTTTTATTTTAAATTTATCATTTTTTACAATTTTTTATATTTTATATATATTTTAGACCATATTTTCTTCCCCCCACCCCAGACTGATTTTTTGTATATAGGAAGGGTACTGTTTTCTGTGTATTGATTGTAACCTGCTATTTTACTAAACTGGTTGATTATTTTAATTAGTTTTTCCATGGATTTTTTTTTAGGGTTCTCTCTATGTTATCATGCCATCTGAAAATAATATTAGCTTTACTTCTTTCGCAATCTGGATTGCTTTTGTAGCTTTCTCTTGCCTAGTTGCTAAAGTTAGACTTAAAATACTATGTTGGCAGTAGCCCTTCTTCCCAGCAGGTGTTTTTCTTAATCAACCTCCCTTTCAGGGGCAGCTTTTTCTGTTTGCTTGTGTCTGTGCAATTGCCATTTATTCTCCCCCTTCTTATAATAACCCTGTCATTTTTGATATAAATAAAATAATGTAAAATAAAATGTTGAATAGTAGTAGTAAGGGTGGACAACCTTGTCTTGTTCCAGATCTTAATGGAAACTGTGGTGAGTACTGGACATCCCTAAGCAAAAGGATAAAGTTGTATCCACCAAAACAAAAAAAAAAAACCTGAATATTTAATACTCTTATAAGAAAATATAGTTGTAAGTGTTAAAGACTTTAGTTCAGCCAACAATTTCTGAGATATTACATCACAATCCAAGATACCAAGGGAAAAATTGACCAATGTGATTTCATAATATTGCAAATGTTTATCCTTATTTAAAAGGGCTTTACCAGGGCCTCCCTGGTGGTGCAGGTGGTTGATTGCAGTGCTGTGAAGCTGTCCGCAGCCTCTGCAGCTCGGGTTTGATCCCAGCGGTCTGTTGAGTGTCAAACATGGCGAAGCAGACCTCTCCTGTCACGCCCGCTGCTCCCTTCAACAGTGTATTTCATCAGTCTGCCTGTTCTGTTCCCCACTCCCTCTCTGGTGAATCCTCTCACCCTCCCGTGCATCTGGCCTGTACTCTGGTTCTTGTATAAAAATAAATAAATCTTTTTTTTTTTTTTTTTTTAGAAAAGGGAATTACCAATACAGTAACAATTTAACCCCCCCAAAAAGTGAGATAATACTCATACATTTGGTATTGAGAACATATAAAGAATTGTTGTAACTCAAATTTATAATGAATCAATCTATCCCTACTTAAAAATGTGAATATAATTTAGTAAACATTTCTCTGAATTTTACAAAGGGTGAATAAACATATGAAAAGACATTCAACATTAGTCATTAAGGAAATGCAAATCAAACCACAGTAAGTGCAAGTTCAATCCCAATAAGTTGTTTGTAATCAAGGAGACAAAGAAATGTTAGTGAGGATGTGGATAAATTGAAACTCTCATTCATTGCTGTTGAGAATGTAATAAGGTGATATGCAATCTTTGGAAAACAGTTTGTCACTTCCTCAGTTGTTAAACTGATTTGCTATATGATCCAACAATTTCCCTTCTAAGTATTTGCCAAGCAGAAGTTAAAACATGACCATAGAAAATCTTGTACATGAGTGTTCATAACAGCATGATTTGTAACAGTCAAAAAATACATGAACTGATGTATTAATAAAGACAATGTGCTATGTCAATACAAATACTCAACTGTAAAAATGAATAAAGTAAGTTATACACTCAATATCATGGATAAACCATGAAAACATTGTCTAAAAAGATAGTTACAAAAGACTATATATTGTATGATTACAATTATATGAAATGTCTAGAATAGACAAATCCATAATTGCAGACAGTTAAGTTGTGGTTTTTCAAGGGTGGATGTAAAAGGAATGGGAAATGACTGCAGACATCTATGGGGTTCTTTTCGAAATGATAAAATACTGTGATTTTGGTCTTATTTTTAAATATACTAAAAAGCACTGAATCATACATTATATAAAAGGGTGAATTTTACAATATGTGACTATATGAATATATCTCAGTTTTTATTTTAAAATGGTTGTGCAGGAGACAGTCACCCATAGAACTTTATTTGATCCTAGGGAAGTCAAATTTTTTGGCTCTCATGCTTTCCTCTAACACTTGCCTCTTCATATTTCCCATGCCTATTTTATGTGTGAAAATCTCTACCTCTTATGATTTGGTTCTGAGTTGAGGCTAGGGATACACACCTACTCCAGCTTTATTCTTAAGTTACACTGGTTATTTATAAGCCTCATGAGTGTAATTACTCTAGTGATCATCAGGGCTTTATTTTGCAGTGTGGAATCAGTTAGATAGATCTGTAAATGATGTGACCCTGAACAAGTTAGTTCATATTTTTTAAACCATAATTTCTTTTACTTAATTAGTTATACTTCTTAGGGTCATGAAGACTTAATAAGATAATGTATTTTAAGTATTTGGCACTCTGTGTAGGCTGATGTAGTTCTTATTTTATGTTAACTTACTTTCTACTTCTTTCCCTTTGATAAAAGGCAGGTTCTTTTCTGGTCAGCAGTCACTTAGTTCTTTCCAGCTTTCTGCCAAGCAACAGATTTATTTTAGAAATGTCATGGGTGAGGTTTTATTAAAGCTTTTTTTTTTTTCTGTGTCCCTGGTGTGCCTGTTCTAGTAACTGCGACACTACGTAGTCAGTGAGTTTGGAAGAAAAATTAACCAGGAGACCTTTCAGTTGTAACAATAGGAACTGCCTTTGTTTAGGTGTAATAGTTCTGGGTTACATTTGATGAAGTTGAAAATGCTGAGACTAATGCAAAAGTAAATTCTCTCTTGCCTTTTATTTTTTTTTTTTCTTCCCAGGATCTGGAGAAATCAGGCCATATGAAATCTGACACGTGTTCTTTCTCTCAGCTCTGGACAAAGGGAATTAAAACTGTAGGTATCTTAATCTGTTCCTTTTCCTCCATGTTTAGGAGCGGAAAAAGAAATTTGAAAAGGATGGCGAGAGGTTTTATTCCTTGCTTGATCGGCACTTACATTTGTCTTCCAAAAAGAAGGAATCTCAGCTACAGGAGGTATGTTCAGAAGTCCTGGCTCTGTCTTCTATTGCCAAATATGACTTATTTGCAAGACTTGCCTCATAACCTGCCTTAGCTGGGAACAATGTATGCTTGTGCTTGCAGTTAAACCATGGCCTGGGAATCAGGATCCCTGGGTTCTCAAGGTAGTGTCATGGTTTGACTTTGGATAAGATATTTCTTTATCTCAGTCCATATGTTAGAAGAGGAGTTGTATTCAGTGAACTCAAGAGTCCCTTTTTGTTCTAATATTCTCATTCCAGATTTCACCCAAGGATAGGGCTAAACTTATATGGAGGTTACATGGGACATGCTTCAGCTCAAATGAAGCATTATTTAGTAAGTGCCTACCACACACTAGGCACTAATTATTCTGGGAGCAACAGGACTACAAATATAATAAGACATTCTTTCTGTCCTTAGACAACTTACAGTTTAGGTACTAAAATAAGAATACACACGGCTTTTATCAAGTAGAATTTTTTACATATGTATTGTCCTTGTAGGGTTCGAAAAGTGTTTTGAGAATAAAAACCTATCATTTGTATAGGTGGGGTTAACTTTGTGGAAGATTGTTGCCCATCCAATCTGAGGTAGTCATTCAGCAATAGGTAATACATTCGACAGAAACTGACAAATGTCAGAAAGACAAAGACAATTGCTGTATGATTTCAGTCATGTGTGCAATATAAAGAAGCAAAGCAAGTGAACAAATAACAAGTCTAATCCTTAGATTCTGACAAAAGAATAGTGGTTACCTGAGGCATATGGATCGAAGTTGGACAGATTAACTGGCAATAGTCTATTGGATTTTGGTGGTTCCTAGAACTTTGGAGGTGGGGGTGGTGAGTTATACATTTGAAGAGGTGTGAAGCTGTACTCCAAAAACTTATACAGTGTTTTAAACCAACATTACATCAATTAAAAAATGGAGAAATGGACCATTCAAATGGAAGGCTGTGGTCCCAAGAATGGAAAACATGAAGTTTGAGAAATGGTTTGATCAGAATTTGCATTTACTATGGGAGGATTGTAAAAGACAATATGAAATTGTGCAAATTGAGGCCTTATCATGGAATAATAGGCTCAGGAGTTTGTACTGAATGTTGTTGGTCCTGGGAGGATTACTCTACATGCAATATGAGTAGAATACTATTTTGGGAATTTAAAGTAGCCTAGGTTGTAGGATGAATTAGGTCAGAGAGAGACTGGAATCAGGAAAAACAAGTTTAGGAATCTATTGCAGTAAGAAAAGACTGTGAGTCTGGGATATTGACAGTAAAGAAGAGAGGGAATGAATTACCAGATTAAGACATTTTAAAAATGAAACAAAACAAGGGATTTAGCTGTTGATTAAAAGATCCAGCAAAAGCTGGTGCTATTGAAGATTCAAGTATGAAAAGAGATACCAGATTGAATAAGGTCATAGACATGAACTCTCTAGGTTCTTAGAAATAATCTTGTCCTTGTCTCAGAGATTGTGGAAAAGTTGAAGCTCATCTCCTGACATCTGATTTTAGTGAGTGTTCATCACATCATATGAATGGCTGAAGGCAATGAGTCAGGATCCTCTGGTGGATGGTGTTAGTATTAGGTAGGTGAAGGACAGCTTCTCTTCCATACATTGCAGTAAGGTACTAGTTTGGGATCTTCTGCCAATTTTCATTTGCACATTTTTGTTTTCTTCCTCTTCCATTTATTCCATGTCAAGGCTCTTCTACAGAAAGGAATTAACATAGCATTTCTGAGACTACCATGCTTTGAAAGATCAGCTTACAAATTTAGCACTTGGCTGCCAGGTGGGAACTTGGCTGGTAAACAGTTCCCTATACTGATATTAGTTTTCCTAAATGGCAGGAGTGATTCCCTGTGCCTACAGTAGCATGTAAACAATGTGGTTTTTGTTCAACACCTTACCTTCTTTTGGGAGACTAAAATCTTGATAAACAATTGGCAGAGAGTGCCTATATGTGTAACTTCCAATAAAAACCTAGGGCACTGAGTTTCTAATGAGCTTCCTTGATAAACAACATTTCACACTTGCCATAACTTGTTGTTGGAGCAATTAAGTGTGTGTCCCATATGACTACACAAAGAGAGAACTCTTGGATGTGTGTATCTAGTTTTTTCTGGACTTTGCCCCACATATATTTTCTCTTTGCTGATTTTTCTATGTATTCTTTTTCTGAAATAAATCTGAACTATGAGTATAATGACTCCTTTAAGTTAATCTAGACAATTACCAAACCTGGGCAGGAACCCCAGATACAGTCTTTTGGAGTCTTTTGCAATGGAAGCTTCTGGAATGTCCTAGCACCTAGTTTGGTACTAGTATGAGATATCCCTGGTGACAGTCCTAATGAGCAAGGATGCAGCCTTTGTTCTTGTTCAATGAAAAATAAGTTTCAATACCTTGACTCATCACTTTTTTATATTAAACTATTTTTAGAGCATAAATACCTTACCAAAAAAATGAGTGGTACACCAATGAATACTCAGAGCAACCACTGTATTCCTGAGACCTTTTCCTTTGCCCCTCCATTCAGCACACACATGAGACAATCAATGGTCTACCCCAGCACCACCAGTCTCCCATGCTCCAACACTTACAGGTTAATTCTTCCGCACCAGTCCCTCTGATCAGGTCTATCAGCACCATCAGCTCAAAATCTTCTGGTACAAGGTCAGGTTTCCTGCTAATTTTCCCAAAGCAATTTTGGTAAATGCCAAAACTTTGAAATAATCAAAATTAGCGACATGATTTAGGAGGATCCCATTTTAACTATGTCCTAGCTCAGCTTTTCTATCTGGCAACATATCCCCAAATTATGTGCATCTTAAGATCAAACTTGTCTCTAGGATTATCCAGATCCTTTCTTCTAAAATATACATTGAAAAACATGACGTTAATTAAAAATTCTGTTTCATTCAGAATGTCATGGATCAGAAAATCTTTCAAAATTCCAATTTATTCTATGGGTTGACTTTAGCTGTATGCACAACTTCATCATGGGCTAAGTCCTAGACTTTTATCCACTGATATTTCTCCTACTTTGTCCGTTCCCTGGCCTTCTACAAAGCTACCATTTGCCTCTTCAAAGATTTAACAGAAAAGAAGATTTGGACAAATAGGAAATGCCACTAGTTTGACAGTTTTGGTTTTCTCTGTGCTTTTCAATGGGATAGTGTTGTGTAGGGGGATGATTCCTGGGTTAAAATCATGCATACATGTTAATTATTTATCCATTATTCTACAGTGTAGATAGAATCTACATGCATATCCTAGCATGTAGGTCTGGTAAGCAGACATTGAGACCTAAAAAGTGCCATGTGAAAATTTTAAACCTAGACCAGTAATCTAATTTATGTTATAAGTATTATTTTGCTTAAATGCAGTATTTGATTTTGATTTCCCCCCCAACATCATCTCTTTTACCCATTTGATCCTTCCTCCTCTCCACTTGCTCTTATTCTCAGAAATATCACTTCATTTTTATTTTATTTGCATGTGTTCATCTTTTTATCTATTTTTTATTTTTATTTTATTTTATATAATTCTTACATCATTTTCATTTTTGCACAATATGCATTTTCATTTTGGTTATATTCCCCATAAAATTGTACCCCCCCCTTACTTTGAACCTAATCTTTCCTCTCCCCACCCTCTCCCCCATCCTGGAGTGTGTCTCTGGTTTATCGTGGCTTGTTGATTTTCATTTTTTCTTTGTATTTATTAGTCTTTTTCCTGGTCACTTATTTAGGTTTTCTAGATTCCTGCTATGAGTGAGACCATCTGGTATTTTTCATTTTCTTTCTGACTTATTTCGCTGAGCATGATCCCTTCTAGCTCCATCCATATTGCTGCAAACTGCTTGTGTTTATCTTTTTGGATTGCTGAGTAATATTCCATGGTGTATATGAATCACGTCTTCTTGATCTAGCCATCTGTTTTTGGGCATTTGGGTTGTTTCCATAGCTTAGCTATGGTAAATAGTGCTGCTATAAACAGGTGTGCTTTGGAATTGATGTTTCTGTGTCCTTTGGGTAAATACCTAGGAGTGGAATTGCTGGATCATATGGAAGCTCTATATTTAGTAGGTCAAGAAATCTCCACACAGCTCTCCATAGTGGTTGGACCAGTTTGCACTCCCACCAGCAGTGCAGGAGAGTTCCTTTTTCTCCACAACCTCGCCAACATTTGTTGTTGCTAGTTTTTTTTAATATGTGCCATTCTCACTGGTGTGAGATGGTATCTCATTGTAGTTTTGATTTGCGTTTCCCTGATTACAGGTGATGTTGAACATTTTTTCATATGCCTGTTGTCCATTTACATTTCCTCTTTGGAGAAGTTTCTATTTAGCTCTTCTGCCCATTTTTTGACTGGATTGTTTTCTTTGTTTTTATTTAGTCTCATCAGCTCTTTGCAGATTTTTGTGATCAGTCCTTTATCATTAGAGTTGTGTACAAAAATTTCCTCCCAGTTGGTGTGGTTTCTCTTTGTTTTGGTTATTGTCTCTTTTGCTGTGCAGCTCTTTAATTTGATGTAGTCCCAGCTGTTTATCTTTGCCTTCACTATCACTGCTTTGGGTGATGTGTCTGTAAAGATGTCTTTGATGTGCAAATCCCGTAGTGTTTCGCCTATATTTCCTTCTATGTATTTTATGGTTTAAGGTTTTACGTCTAGTTCTTTAATCCATTTTGAGTTGTTTTTTTTGCATGGTGTGAGGTAGTGGTCAAGCTTCATTCTTTTGCATGTTGCGACCCAGTTTTCCCAGCACCATTTATTGAACAAACTTTCTTTATTCCAGTGTATATTCTTTTCTCCTTTGTCAAAGATTAGTTGACCATAAATCTGTGGAGTTATTTCTGGATTTTCTATTTGCTTCCATTGGTCCGTGTGTCTGTTCTTGTTCCAATACTATGCAGTTTTGACCATTATGGCTTTGTGGTATAGTTTGAAGTCTGGGAGTGTGATGCCACCATTCCCTTATTTATTT